CTCTCCTAGGTTCACGAAACGGTCGTCCATAAAATGCATTGCTGTTCTGTTGTAAGTAATCTTAAAGATTCCTAAATGCATCTACTTTCGGAAGGCCAAATAAAGTGCTTTTACTTTCGCCTAGAAACACACAGCGTCTCCCTGACATGCTGCTTCAACACTAACTGCGGCTACTGAAACCACGCCTCCTTTCTTTGCGTGCACATTTGGGCGGCATTATGCAAATATTTCCACATAGTGAGGTAGATATGTGGGGGCGTGTTAGAACGAGCCGTTTTAGGGGGGCGTGGCTAAGTCTTAACTTTGATAAAGAATATCTCTTTGGTTTTGAGACTTTAGTCTTTGCAACTTCAGGGATCTTATCTATTCACGAACAGCTTGTAACACTCCAAAGAGAAAGGAAAACTTGAAATCGCATCATATGACCCCTTTAAATTAGGAGGACAAGCGCTCCTGATTACAAGAAGAAAAACACTACTCTTAAACTGGGTGTGTGACAGGTATGGCTGCGGAATGGGGTTTGGGCGAGGAAAGATTTTCAGTCAAAATATTTATTTTTTGCTTTAACCCCTGACTACTAACACAATTATTGCAACTTTTGTTTAAAAGAATAATCACAGAATATGCTATTTCTTCCATGTTTTAATTTTAATTGTAAACCCTTTGTTTGCCAAAAAATAAAGAGTTTACAGTTTGAGTACTGCACTCAACCAACACAAGGAAAGGCAGTTTTTGTCAGAGCCCTTGTTATTCTTAATTTTGACATTAATTTTCATTTTTACACCAGACATATGTATATATCGGTTCAAAATATCGGTTATCCGTCTACTTGATCTGTAATAATCGGTATCAGCATCAGCCTTGAAAAACATATATCGGTCGACCCCTGGTTTGAAGTCAGCTAGTCGTCCATTACTGGCTCTCCTCACGCTTTGATTTGAGCGTGACTGAACCGAAAGCCTCCATACTGCGACAGGATCCTCTCCACAATCAGCGGCCGCGGGACGGCGGCTGGGGCCTTTGTATTGATCAGTGGCTGAAACCGTCTCCAATTCTGTTTCCTTCACTGAAAACAAGGAAAAGAACCGAGCCAGAAGGACACGATTTAGAAAAAATGACAAAATCACAACTGCCAAACTGTCACAGGGCCCAGAGCTTTCACCATACAGCGCTATGATATGAAAATGAGGCACTATTTTTCTGAAATATGACTTCAGAATGATGTATTAGAGAGAAGATGATTGCAGCAGTTAGAGTTCAGACGTCTGCTCATAGTTCCCGTGCTTTATACATTGGACTCTCACACTATATAGAGCCTCAGAAGCTGATTATACAAACCAGGACGAGGACAATTATGTTCTGACATATATTATTCAATACACACTCTGGGAATAACTATTACCATAAAAGTAATAGGAAGCGTTATTGTACTCCGGTGGGAATGCAAACAAGAGCCGTTTGCAATAAAACTTGAGGAATAATGTACAGAATATTTCACACAACACACCGCTTTCTCTTTAAATAAGTAAAGAAATACGGCTTTAACACGCTCTCACACATATATATAAATAATAATTCTGTATGAAAATGCTGGGTTTTATTTGAATCAGGTCACCCGACCGTGTGTTTCATATGGAGAAAAATGGGTCAGCTTTGTGGAAAGGGTTTTTTCTGTAGGTAAAAGCATTTTAAACAGTCTTGAATTTCTTATGAAGTTGAATAATAAACGTAAAGCTGGATGGGCTTTAAAGACATCCTCAAGTGCCCCAATTTCAGCGCTAATGTGAGGGTTGATGGGAATGTCAGCGGATGTGAGTCTCGCTGGCACTGAAGTCAACATTTTGACTGATTACTTTCTAAATACATCCTCCAGATCGTTTTTGACAGATATATATACAGTATATATTGTTATTTATATATAGTATGTTATTTAAGAAAATGAGTATTTGTGACCCTGGACCACAAAACCAGTCTTAAGTGTATTTTTGTTTATTATTATTGAGATTTATACATCATCTGAAAGCTGAATAAATAAGCCTTCCATTGATGTATGGTTTGTTATGATAGGATAGGAATATCTGGTCGAGATACAACTATTTGAAAATCGGGAATCTGAGGGTGCAAAAAAATCTAAATATTGAGAAAATCATCTTTAAAGTTGTTCAAATTAAGTTCTTAGCAATGCATATTACTAATCAAAAATTACTTTTTGATATATTTACAGTAGGAAATTTACAAAATATCTTCATGGAACATGATCTTTACTTAATATCCTAATGATTTTTGGCATAAAAGAGAAATGTATAATTTTGACCCATACAATATATTTTTGACTATTGCTACAAATATGCGACTTAAGACTGCTTTTGTGCTCCAGGGTCACATTTGTCTTCATAGTCTTTTGTTCAGATCTCTCTTTGTTTTGCAGCTGACGTCAACAATTCATTTTTACTTTATTTCATTCAGACAGTTTTCACTATCCATGTCTTTTCCAAATCATGTTCTGCCCTACTTTTTCTTGTTTAATAACCTGTTTTATTCAGAAATGTCATATTATGGAAGTAATATGGGTTGTTTCATGATGAATTTTAAGCATATTATTTTAAGATTAATTTATACAGAATACAAATAAAAATAATTTACCCTTAATAATGTTTACACTTGCATCTCTATTTACTTATTTATTTATTTTTAGTTTATTATTTATTTATTTTTAGTTTATTATTATTATTGTTTTAATTTCCCTTTTTCTATTCCTGTTTTTTGGTGTTCTTAGCGCCAGAACATTTAAAAAAATGTTTTTAAAAAGAAGTCTTTCTTTATTTCTTTTTTCTTTCTTTCGTTCTTTCTCTACTTTTTCCCTTTATCCCTATATTTTTGTTGTTGTTGAAAGAAGTCTGCTCTCCAAAGCTGCATTTATCATAAATACAGAACAAAACAGTAAAATTGTGTAATATTATTACAATTTAAAATAGCTGGTTTTTGTGTGAATTTGTTGTAAAATGTAATTTATTACTGTGATGTAATGCTGAATTTTCAGCATAAATACCCCAGTCTTCAGTGTCACATGATCCTTCAGATATACTGATTTGCTGACTGGTAGTGTGTGTGTGTGTGTGTGTGTGTGTGTGTGTGTGCACATACAATAAAAAATTAAAATAAAAACAAGATATTAATAAAATAAAATGTTACATAAATATTCATATTTTAAACTAACAAAAAATAAACACATATTCAAGAAACATTTCTGATTATTATCAATGTTGAAAACAGTTGTGCTGCTGAATATGTTTGTGGAAACTGTGATACATTAATTCTTTCAGAATTCTTTGATGAATAGAAAGATCAAAAGAACAGCATTTATTTGAAACAGGAATGTCTTTACTGTCGCTTTAGATCAATTGAATGCGTTCTAGCTTAATAAAAGTATCAATTGACTCCAGTGGTTTGAAGAGTATCTCCGTGCGTCAGTATGTTTCTGATGTGTGCTTCTGTGTGTCTGTAGAGAGCTGTGATTCTCCGCTGGTTTCCGCTCTGCCTCAGTCGGCCTTCACAAGCTCATCAGAGCTGTCCAGCAGTCACGGGCCGGGCTTCGCCAAACTCAACCGCAGAGACGGTAATTCAACACCTTCAGTCAATATTCACCGCTCTGCTTCATCATTTGCCCATTCATGTCACATTTTATGATCAAACTAGAATTTGTTCAACTCCTCCATCAAAGTGAGACGCAGTTGTTGATGGCTGCCGGGCGATTTTTGAAAAATGTTCACATTTATATTTATATTATTTGGAAATCAGTCTTCCAGTCATCCAATTATCATGTCTGAGGAAAAACTATTTATTTTGCAAATGTTTACCAGGTTAGTGGCATCAAAAGCTAGCCTGGTAGCAAAAGTTTTGTTTGGGGCATTCAGTAGCATTTGAAGTATATTCATGAGCAGAACTGTATATTCTGCTGTTTTGTGAGTTATGTCTTTGAAAGAATTACTTTTAGATGGGCAGGATTCAGATCACAAAGTCACAAACCATTTCTACTCATTTCTGTGGCATTTTATCTTCGGCCGGACTCAGATAAACAGTTCTGTACTTTGTTTTTATTGACTCTTGTGTTCTACGCTGGTCTGTTAATGTGGTATCAATAATTTCATATTTACCCGCTTCTAGTCATCATGGATAATATATCTGACTGATTGATCGCTTTACATGTCGGTCAAACAGTTATGTTCTGCTGGTTCTTATCTATGTAGGAAGTTCTTCACCAGAATAAACGGAAAAAAAGTCAAGTTTGCATGATTTATTCTAGTATTTTACGGTTTATTACTGTGACGCTGCTTTGAAATTATTTACATCTACAGTGGCAAAAAGACTATAAAATATATGACATGTTAATAATTAATTGAACTAATTCATTGAAAATGCAACTTGCAGGTCATTCTGGCCAAGAGCTGTCCATTTACCCGTGCAAAGCCTTATGGGTCACGGCACGTTTGATGACCGTGGGCATCTGGCATCATTTGCAGTAGCTCATCAGCTTCAGTGAGATTCAGCTGTATATCGCATTAGTTGCGCTTGTGTCGTGGCATTCGGTGTATCTGTGAACACATTTCTCTTGAGGCTGACAGGTGACCACATTACAGATGAGCTCAAAGAACGGCCCGCCTCGCGTTTCAAGAGCTAACAGATAGGCTTAAAGAATCGTTTTAGCCTATTACTGCCACTGCAGCGCAGTGTTTAAGTGCAAACATGCTTCCTCTAGGAACGACAACATTAATGACTGGAGTAGGAGGAAGTGTAATTGTTGTTCCTCGTGGAAAATAGATGCACACGCACACACGCCTGTGAACAAGCAAACAAGCACACACAGTGTAGGAGGCTCTGAGAGCAGTGCTTCAAAGACTGCAGCACCCGGTCTGATGTTTCTGCTTAAAGGCCGCAGAGAAAAAAAGCAGAGGCTGCAGTCGCCTCATCCACTCACCTGCCCGCTGGAGACTGACATCAAACTCTGAATAAAACCAACACAGTACACTGGACTCTGTGAGAAAGAGATGGGCTTCTAGTTTGTAATGTCTTGAATCTTAAAGGGATAGTTCACCCAAAAATGAAAATCTGCTGGTAATTTACTCACTCTCAGGACATCCAAGATGTGCATGACATTTTTCTTCAGTAGAACAGTAAAGATTTTTAGTTGAAATCATTGTCCTTGGTGATTCGTAGAATGCAAGTCAATGGCTACTGGCACTTTGAGAGTCAAAAAAGCATATACAGACAATACAGAATGAATCCCCGTGGCTCCTGATGATATATTGAGGTCTTATGAAGCGAAATGATCGGTATGTGCAAGAAACTGAACATTATTTACAACGTAATCCAAAGCCTCAGTTTCTTTTCAAAAATGCTAACTGATTCTTTTGAACAGTTCATTTCAGTGAACTGATTCAGTGAACTGATTCACCTGTTCATTTACATAATCATAACGTATATACAGTTATATTAAAGTACCCAATAATGATGTGAAACGTGGATGATTTACATGTCTAAAACATATATAGTGATAAACAAGTCTTAATCAACTTCAATGCATCTTGGTTTAAAATAAACGCCACTTTCTGTACGTGTGCTTTGAGATTCAAACTCTTCTGGTCTTCACTGTAAGTTTGTTGATCTGATCCAGACATCAGCCCGAAGGAATCTCAAACTATTTGTTATTAATAAAATTAACAATAACAATAACAATTAATTCAAAATATGAATAAAATCTAGTATCCCAATGACATTACCCATTTTAAAATAACCCTAGCTTTATATTATTGCAATATATATGGTCAAACATTTAGTTTTGACCAATTGTAACTGCATTTATGTGCAACATTATAAAGTCTGTGTAAACTCATCTTTTATTCATGTTGAGAAGGTACCAGGTAATCCAAGTGATTCTAATTACTTTTCAGGTTTGTGGTCATTAAATGTGGGAAGATACTCCCAAGTTTGAGGCATTTAGTAGCAACTAAATGAGCAGAACTCTATATTCTGTTGGATTTTCTGAGTAATTTCTGTGAAATCACTCAATTTGCTGAAACCTGACATGAAGTGAAGACAATCATAACTGTGTTTCTTATTCACAAATGTTAAAAGAATCATTTAGGAATGAAAATCGATATGAGGAATAAGTCCCAGAATTGCTAAATTCCCTACGATTCCCATCCCTGGTTCCCCAGACATCCCATCAGCCATCACTCCATGAGCGGCCTGTCGACTTCATTGTCTAGACACTAGATGTTTGTCTTCTTCTGTAAGTACTTCAGGCTAAATTAAATGCCAAGATATTTGTGGCTCTATCAGAACCATGTGAGATTTCAGAAAATCAATAGAAATCTTAAAGCAGCACCATATAGGACTCGGACTAAAGGTCAAACCGGGTGGCACGTAAAAGTTGGAAGCATGTGGAAAATAACAAATAGTTTGAGATTCCTCCAGGCTGGTGTCTGGATCGGGTCAACACACACTTACAGCGAGAAGAGTTTGAATCTCAAAACTCACATACATAAAGTGGCGTTTATTTTGAACAAAGATGCACTTTGACTTTTCACAAGTTGAACATTTAATTAATTAGCTTGGAATAACATTGTTCGTCCAAAAATTTACCTTGTGTCACTTTACTTATGTTGTTCCAAACATGTTTGAATGTCTTTCTAGTGTGTTTGGTTTGTGAAAAGGCTGTGCCAGTGTTATTTTAGTATCGTTGATATTAGGGCTGAACGATTTTGGAAAATAATCTAATTGCGATTATTTTTTTATTTTTTTATTTTTACCAATATTGCGATTGCAATTTAATATGCAATTATTTTTTAAAGCTATTTATGTTCTGTATTATTCAACAAAGTCAAGCTATAAATCATTATATAGTATAGTATAGTATATAGTAAATAAGCCTGGTGTAAACATTAATATGAAAGTCAGTAACAAATCACACAAACTAAAGTAGATTGCAGAAATATAAAAACAAATCTGTTGCTTTACCACACTACTTTAGGTCATTCAAAGTCACTGTAATAAACATATGTAAACATGTGGACTGCACTAAACACTATCTGTTAACTCTAGACCAGTGGTTCTCAAACTTTTTTGGTCACGCCCCCCTTTAAACTTATAAAAAAATCTGCCCCTCCTTTCCCGAATCCCCATTCCACCTTAGACTACCAAATAATTTCACTAAACATTATGAAAAATAATGCTTTTTTAATAAAAAAAAACCTACAGGGGAAAAAACACCTGCATTGCTTGAAACATTAAAAAATAGCATAGAGAGAATAACTATTATTATTATTATTATTATTCTCTCTCTGTTATTTATGTATTTTTTGTGGGTTTCTTGCTGTCCGCTAAGGCATAGGACACACACAGGCTTTCCTCCTCACCAACGACATTAATCACCGTGTCTACACCGGACGCGAGCGGCAAAATACAGGAGAACCCATTATAATCAGTAACGCTGTGTACACTAGATGCGGCGCGGCACGACGCGACCTGACACTCTACAGATGCATCCTAAAGCTACAGTTTTGCTCATTTCACAGATGTTTACATATGAAGAGTTTATTTGCAAAAACAGATAACTACATTGTTGGAAATGTTCATAAATCATGTTTTTTTTTATTGTGCATTCCAAAGTAATATCAATCAAACTGCAGTTGGGTTGTTTAAGTAATAATAACTAAAAAAAAAATACAGGTAACTTACACATTTTTTTTGGGGGGGGGGTTGTTTTGTTTAGTTTTTTGGGCTGCTGTGCCAAGATTGTGTTTGCGTGCAGTACAAATAGCCAATGGCATTTTAGTGTCACGCTGAAAAATAACTAACTAAATAAATAAGATTAAGGTTATACTATTTTAAGAATAAAGTCAAAATTACGATAATAAAATCATCTTTTATTGTGTGAAAATATAAAAATTACACCTATAAAAAAAAGTCTGTGGCATCCAACCTGTCATTCTTAACACTAAAAACAGCAATAAAACGTCGGCTTATAGATGTTTTTGAAACTTTAATTGATCGATTTCATGAGACATTCGTTTGTATTAAATTGCTCTGATTTTTTTTCAATATGCATTCAAATATTTATTCATGTTTATTTCGTGCTGCAAATATTAAAGAGGAAAATATAATAATTGATTCACATGCCGCTTGAACTGAGGCGAATATATTTATCTCACTACAAATAAAAGAGAGTAAAACACATTTATTGTTTGTATTTTGATCTTAAAATTGACAGAAGGATGTGACTTTGTGTTATAATAAAAAAGTACAAAGCTTATTGCGATTATTGGGTGGCTTGCGTGCTACAATGAATGGATGCTAAATATTATTTCCAAGCATTTATACCGTAATTAAAACAGCTTGTGAATACTCACGTAACGTTATTTACATCAGAAAAATCAACAGTAAGTTAACCGAGTTGGAGCCCATATCGTTTGGGGGGCCCGTGCACATTTTTTGCATATGGGCCCGGGGCTGATTTGCTACGCCACTGACAGACACCATTTTCAGGCTTTCCAGTTAATCAATCTCTTGATAGCTTCTAAACATTGTAAGCCCTCGACGGCTGCATTCGAGTCCAAA